GGAGGCCTTACTGGAGCCCGAGCTCCAAAGGGGTTTCCGTTAGAAATGGAGAAAGGCGTTTTGGAGGCCGAGCTCCATGGAGGCCTTTATTTTTGAAAAATTCAAATTCAAATTTCATGGTTCAAAAAATCTGAAAAACAATATGCGTGTATGTAAGGATGTAACTCACATGTGCGTAAAAATTCATGATGAAATACCTTGAGTTGCGACCTGTACAAAAAAGATAAATCCATGGCCTGGGAGGATGAATAGTATCATGTGTTAAACAGCCCCAGATTTGTCTTTTTTGCACAACCCTCATTTCAATGTATTTTGAACTGAAAATTTACACGCATGTGTACTATGCCTTCATGTATATCTGTAAAAAAAATCAGAATTTTTTCAAATGTAAAAATACGAATTTCAATGAAATTTCAAATTTGAATTTGGAGGCCTTACTAGAGCCCGAGCTCCAAAGGGGTTTCCGTTAGAAATCGAGAAAGGCGTTTTGGAGGCCGAGCTCCATGGAGGCATTTATTTTTGAAAAATTCAAATTCAAATTTTTATGATTCAAAAAAATCTGAAAAACAATATGCGTGTATGTAAGGATGTAACTCACATGTGCGTAAAAATTCATGATGAAATACCTTGAGTTGCGACCTATACAAAAAAGATAAATACATGGCCTGGGAGGATGAATAGTATCATGTGTTAAACCGCCCCAGATTTGTCTTTTTTGCACAACCCTCATTTCAATGTATTTTGAACTGAAAATTTACACACATGTGTATTATGCCTTCTTGTATATTTGTATTTTTTTCAGATTTTTTTGAAATGTAAAAATATGAATTTCAATGAAATTTCAAATTTGAATTTGGAGGCTTCACTGGAGCCCGAGCTCCAAAGGGGTTTTCGTTAGAAATGGAGAAAGGAGTTTTGGAGGCCGAGCTCCATGGAGGCCTTTATTTTTGAAAATTTCAAATTCAAATTTTTATGGTTCAAAAAAATCTAAAAATAAAATATGCGTGTACAAAGAGTTCGTAATGCTGGTTACCAGGAGAGTGAATTTTTGGAACCGGGGTGTATTGGAGGACCTTATTTAAATACTTTTAAAATCCCATTTAAGGTTTCAAAAAATTCTGAAAAAAATTCTACGTGATCATATGGATGTATATTACACATGTGTAAAGTTTGGTGATAAAATAAGTAAATATGCGACCTACAAAGAAATGACAAAATGGGGATTTCCAAATAGTGAATAATGCATGCACTGTCTTTCCAAAATCATGATTTTGTCATTTTCGTGTAAGTCACATGGTTACTTCTTTCAGCATAAAAAATTTACACATGTGTAATATTTTTTATAGAAAAGGAGGATGACCCCCGGCCTCTGCATCTGGGTGATGCATACGGCCACTTTATTAATTATTCTCACAAGACCTTACAAAGTAATACAACAGTAAGACTAAAGCCGTCGTCTAAGCAACTCTATCCAGTTGATGAAGGGACGCAGATAGCCTGTGCCTAATACCAAACAGACATCGCAGCCAAACCTAACATCTAAGACCTGAGGTCCCATCCAGGACGCCTGCCGGGCATGGGCCTCACCGGTCCGGCGTGCACTCAGAGGCCGCCGCCGCCAACTGCCACCGCTCCATCTTCAAAACTGTACTGATGCATCAACTTTGCTCGGTCCAGCTATCGTCGACGCCACCACGGCGCCCAACGACACCTCCTCCCTGCGCGCAAACAGCTGAGCACGTCGCGGTGGCCACTGATACACCTCAGCACCATGCTGTCAAGAACCACCAGCCGACACAGCTTGAAGTCTTTGAAAGATCTGTCGTGCGTAGCACCTGCCGACCAGGCATGACAAAGCGTAGCACCTGTCGGTCAGGCATGACTTGACATCTCCACCGAAGCTCCGTGCAAGATGAAGCCGCTCCACCTCCAGCCTCTCTGAACGGGACGGGAGCACCCCAGGAAGACACGGCGAAGAGTTGGGCACCACAATCACCACGAGAGCCGGACCAGCCGGTCGCCATGGCGAAGCGACACCACTAAAGAGAGAACCGCCGCCATCAGGAACGCCAAGAACGCGCTGCATCTGTCCCACCTCCCCGCGGACCCAAAGCGGCGCCTTCAAGAAGGTGACGGAGCCGGGCACCGCCGCCGCCCAACCAAAGTTGTGGGTTTTCACCCGGGTGCAGAGGGAGGACGAGGGGGAGGGAGCTGGATCTCGAAGCCGCCTTCAAGAAGGAAACAACGCCTGGAGCCAGGGAGGGCCCACCTCAATTCAAGGGTATTCAGTTGAATACCCATTATTTGGGGCAAAAGACTAGGTATATATAGTATTTATACTGTGTATATATAAAGAAAAGCGAAACTGATACACCAAAAACATGCTATTCCAGAATTTAAGCCCAAAAACAGAGGCTCACGACGGCTTGGCCCAGTAGACAACCACGACTAGGCCCAAATGGCTGTACCACAAACGCACGCAAAAAAGTCTGTCCATCGTTGCCAAAAAAAAGTCTGTCCATCGAATCGATCAGACGTGGAGACGCACGATTGTTCCGCTGTTCGGTTGTTCCCTAGTTATCTTCGCAGTCGTAGTTCGCACGCGAGCCGCCAGGCGTCCAGGGCTGTTGTCATCGGCTGATCGACGATCGCGCATGCGCACGGCGGCGCAGACGGCCACAAGAATCCATCCCTCGTTGTCTAGCTCACTGCCCCCTTTGGTTCTGATCTTTGTAGTCGGCAGCCGCAGCAGGCCACATCGATTCAGTTTCACAGCCACAACTCACAACTCACGGATTCAACTATTGAGGGTATAATTGCTAATTAGATGTATTGATCCTTCAATTTCTGAAATTAGGAGCTCTCCTTTCATGCACTCATGCTGATTCTTAACTCAAGTACTGCCATGCTAATTCAATTTCTGAATTCATCTATCACTGCATGGTGCAGGAAGGGGCACAGTTTTCTTCTCGCTGTCCAGCAGGCTGCAGCCTGCAGTACAGACTTACAAGATTAAGTAAGTCTATTTAATTATAGTGAAACTAGAGGCTTGTTTGCAGTTGATTATGAATTATTTAGACATGGGAATTTGAAAATTTTCGTTTGAATTTGTAATGTGACAATGTTTATAAATTTTGAATTTGTTATGGTGAGCATTATCTGTAACTATCAGTACTCTAAAAACTTGAGTAATTCTACTCATGAAGAGGAAGAATAACCGTACTATTGATTTGACAGCTTTCTTGAATGATGGGGCAAAAATACTTGAATGATTGCTTGGTCACATTTATTGTAAGGGAATTCTTCTTGCAAGTTAAAGATGATGACATCTCAATCTCGAAAAAAAAGATGATGACATCAGAACTCATTTTCAAAGCATAAAGGATCGCAAAGTTATCATGTAATTTGTAAGTATATATCTTAGATTTTGTCACAATATGTTGAGCAATTTTTACTGCTATATGTTGAACAGTACCAAGTTTGATCAATATTTTATCAATTTAATTTATTATGCCATATCGTTTATAGTTTAGATCTAGTACAATATGTTGCTATAATCGGTTATACGCCCCAAAAGGAAGGCTATAGGCTTCCATTAAAGGTTTCCAAATTTTGAATACACAGCCCTCAATTCTTGGGCCCGCCCCTGCCTGGAGCGCCGCCGGCGTCGTGGCCGCCGTAGCCGGTCAAGAAATTACTCCGATCCAGAGCTCCCAACCCCACATCCGCGCAGTCGGCCATCGGATCCGGCCAGACTGACGAGGAGGAAGCAGCAGCACGGGGGCTCCGTCTTCAGATCTGGCGAAGGAGAGCAGCAGGGATCCCTCCATGCGGCGCCCGCATCCACCGCCAACTCGCCGCTGGCGCGGCCGAGTAGACGCCGCCCTCAACTCCGGCGAGCGCCGCCCGCCGCCAGGACGACGCCGCCCTCACCAGCAGAGGCCGCCGCCTCAAACCCTAGGCCCAAGCCCGAGCGGCATCGCGGCCGAGGGCCTCGCCGCCACCCTCATCGGTGGCCGCGCAGGGGACCCGGCGCCCGTCTCCGACGGCGGCGAGGGAAGGAATCGAGAAGGGGAGGAGGCGGACGGGGAGGTCGGTCGCCCCCGACGCGAGGGAACGGGACGAGGGGACATTCATATAAACATGATGATTTGTGTTTGGAATTTTTTAAAACTTCAAAATAGCATTTTGGCACAGTTCAAAAAATAGGGCTCCAATGCACCCGGGTTCCAAAGTGACTTTTTGTGGTTACAAGTTGGTTTTGCGTGTGGTGGTATAGTTACGTACGTTATTGTACAAAAAGTGTGTGTGGGCTGTGGCCCGTGATCCTAAATGGAGTAGATGACTGCTACACCGAATTGAAGGATTCTTACCCTCAAAAAAAAAAAAAGAATTGAAGGATTCTTGTCCTGCGCCCCAGCCCCCAGCTCGTCGTCAGTGTCACAGAGGTCAAGGTCTTCCCCAGCGACGACATAAATTCGGCATCAAAACACTGCCACTGCACTACCTACCGAGTTAGAGAAATCAATGGCCTCTCCAGCGCTCCCTCTACCACTACAAACTCGACCAACATGCTGCAGTGTTTCACATAATTGACGAGAGAGAGAGAGAGAGAGCACGGGGCAGCAGGGCTTCTCCATGGCAGGGTGATTGGCATGGATCTGTTGCTATTCAGCCTCTGCATGCGCAATGCTTAACCGTGTTAATTTTCATTATCGGAGCCCCGATTAAGGCCGGGCTGCTGTTCCCCGTGTGCAGTATGCTCCTCAACGCCGGCAACTAGGCCGAGCGGCGCCCCCGTCTACCTCGCCGCTGAGGTATGTTTCTCCCGGACCCCTCCCGTCCCTGCTCTCTGAGTTTGGTTCTTGCATCTCTTGATCTGGCTCATGAGTGGATTTCGGTGATTTTGCATTCTCAGATCTGACTGCTGCAACTTGTTCTCGGTTTTAGTATCATCATCTTACGGCACATCGGATTGACCTTGCCGATTGACGTCAGTCATGGCTGCTAGCCCAGACTGTCTTGCTGATGACAGCAACTGGGAGGAGGTACGGTTTATCAACAGCTACAGTGTGTTCATGGGCTATCTGTCCATGGCCATCAAGGGCTTGGGTTTCTTGGTTCTTACTTGGACCACCGTTGTACTTCTCGGTGGCTTCGTCTCCATGCTGGATAACAAGGACTTTTGGTGCCTGACCTTCATCACCCTTGTACAGACAGCTGGGTTAGTATAACTCATGTCTCATTTATCATTTATTCGTCCTACTAATTTTCTTTGTTCTCGGTAGTGTATGTACTCCCATATTGACCAAGCGTATAGAAATATCTGTAAAGATCTACTCCCTCTGTTCACAATTACTTGTCATAAAAATAGATTAAAATGAATGTATCTACAACTAAAATACATCTAGATACATTCATTTCCTGGGCGAGTAATTCCGAACGGAGGGAGTATGATATATCACATACACAAAATATGAAAGTACATTTCAAAAGTAAACTAATGGAATAAAATTGATTTGTTAGATGTTGATACATTTTTATATAGACTTGATCAAACTCGATGAAGTTTGACTTAGGAGAATCCTAGAACTTCCAACTGTTTTGAAACGGAGGGAGTACATCTTAAACAAGCCGGATATTGTCTTCGGAGGCCGAGCTCCATGGAGCTCGGTTGTTTTGAAAATTTTGAATTTTGTCGAATTTCATATTTTCTACATTAAAAAAAACACATATATACATGAAGGCATAACACATATGTGTGTAAATTTTCAGGGCAAAATAAGTTGAAATGAGGGCTGTGCAAAAAAGACAAATCTGGGGCTTTTTTAACACATGATACTATTCATCCTTCCAGGCCATGAATTTGTCTTTTTTGTACAGGTCACATTTCAACGTTTTTCATTCTAAAACTTTACACACATGGACATAACATACTTATTTACTTGCACATTTTTTTCGGATTTTTTTGAAACCGAAAAGTTTGAATTTTGATTTGTTTTCAAAAAAAAGGCCTCCATGGCTCCCAAGAGCCAAACGTCCGCTCTCCAACATACTATATATCTTTATTATTAATTATTCTTATATACCTCAACATAAATTACACACAAAAAATATAGTCGAAGTCCTTTGTTTATGCAGTATGCCATTTTTACGTACAAAAATGTAGTTTATGTCTAAGAAATACAGAATATGAGGTCTTAAATGTAATTTTTCATTGAACTCGCTTTCAGATGTCCAATAGGTTATTAATGAAGTATATTAAAAATGATAAAGAGATATAACTGATGGCCATGATATTATCTATATATGTGGTATTTCACGACCGGAAGTATCTGACTCAAAAATATGTATAACAGGATTTTTGATGTTAATCTAAATGAAAAATTAGGCTATATGAAGAATGCATTCTCAGGGTTCATCATGGCAATTTTCTGGGGCGTGGTAGGCGAAGAGCCAAGCTGGGAAACAATATTTGCTTTTCTTTGTCGCAGTTTGTTGGCATGCATTTTAATGTTGGTTCAAGTAGTGGTGTTGGCCATGATATTGGGCCCTCTCGCAATTATATATGTGCTTGGGATATTCATGTCCGGAGTGATCTCGTTGTGTCGTCTGGTAGAGCATGATTATGGGGGCAACTCGGATGGAGAAACATCAAACCTAGCGCCAGCGATGAACACCTTGTACTACCTTGCTCTGCTCCAAGGTGTGCTCTTCTGCTACAGGTTCATGTTGGGTCGTGTGGGGAAGAGATTGTCCTGGGTTGCGGCCACTGGAGAGGAAGTTCAAGCAGTTCTTTACAACTACTTGCACGAAACAAGGAGTGGATGTGAGAAGGACCCGGCATTTGCAAAAGGAAGGAACCTCACCACATATGCCGTAGACAAAATTAGTTCTAATTCACCGGTTGACTGCATTTCCGGTGTGAAGATCTTGTATGCAGCCATAAGTGTAGTGGACAGCACATGTAACCCACGCAAAATAACTGGGCAACGCATGCTGATGGAGCATCTGTTCTTGTGTGCATCATCATCTCGGTGCGCACTACAGAAACTGCTAGAGACATTGGGTTCAAGATATGACACAGAGAGGAGACACCAAGCGGCGACAATAGTGGACCGAATTGCACTCTTCATTAATTTGGAGCAATTTCCTTGTGGTATTCAACACATATCCTCCCTGATCGGGACATTTAAACAATATAATTCACCAGCCGGCGAACTTGGGAAGGACTACCAGAAGTTGTTGCTACAAGGCTTGTCTATCCTCCAGAATCTGGCTACTGACGAAAACAACTGCAGAGTCATGAGCGACACTCGAGATCTGGTCTCCAAAATCATGGCGCCTGTAACTTCCGACCTACTTGACCACACCGGTGATGATCATGGTACGTGGTACAAAGTAGTAAGTGAATCAATGGAATTGATGAACCAATTAACTCTTGCTCAAGGAGAAACGGGCACCAAATTACGTCGTGAAATCTCAAACTGCGCAGGAGCAATAGGCACTCTCTGGAGGATTATTAGCTGTAAAAGGTGTAAAGAATGGTTGCAGGGAAGAGCCATTTGGATTCTCACACGACTGTACATTGATAATATTGGAATCAGCAGATCAAGTGATTCTGAGCTTCTCGAAAAGGAAAACAGTTGTGGCGGAGAAGATTTTGTTAGGATGCTAGTGAACATCTTCACTCACCATAACGAGTATAGCAGCTTTGTCAGAGAATGTGCAGGAGAAGCACTATCGAAGATATGTTTCCTTGGCAGAATTAGTGATGCCACAATTATCATACAAACAAGAGATGATGTTGTCGATAAGCAGCAGCAGCAGAAATACTGAAGTATCTATGTACTCATTACACTAAGGGCTTGTTCGTTTAATCCCTTCCCCAAGAGGATTGGAGAGGTTTGAAGGGGATTGGGAAGGAATTTGACTTACAGGAGATGTAATCCCTCACAATCCTCTTTAATCCCCCTCAAACCATGTGCAACCGAACAAAGCCTAAGGATGATGAATACCTCGGCAAACTTAAGAAAGCAACCCTCAAGGTAATTAGTCCTAGTCAAACGATGAATAGCAGTTGTGTTACAAATTATTGCCAATGTACTTGATTATATTTATGACCTCTTTTAGACTAATTTGGAATGTTAATTCATTCTCGTCGCAGGTGATAGGAAAAATGCTTTGTCCCAGGGTCGAAACACACAATGGAAGAGATATAGAAAGCCAATGTGATGACACACAAGAAAGCAATGAGCCGGAGAAGGAGGACGAGGGATTCCAGGTGGACGCACTCTCAAAAATGTCACTGAACTTGCTATTGTCACTGCTATCCCTTTGTGGGACTGTCTACGACACGAAGTTGATCATTGATTTGTCTACTTGGTTGGATCCATCTAGCTTTCTAAACAAGCTCGAGGAGATACTAGTGGAAGAAAGCTACAGCGCCACTGGAAACCTATCATTGTACAAGGCTACTGCTAAGATGGTCATATCAATGCTGAAATGCAATGGTGGCGGGTTCCTCAGACGAGAGGACTTTGGGAGCTTGATAGATACGCTCTCTAGTGCTTCTGAGGACATGCTAGATCTTGACTACTCCATGATTTGTTCTTCCGCCAGTAGCTCCGAATCCAGATCGAAGCTTAATAGGCGTACTCTCATGTCACTCGTGAGAGAAGCGAAAGAACTGCATGCCATGGTACCATCTACCTCTTCCAGTGGCTGATTTGCAATCAAGTTTAGATACTTATTAATTATTATACATATTTTCATTCACTGGCTGGATGTGTACTGTGTGAATACTCTATATATGCATGGTGTACTGCTCCATCCGTATAACCAGCGGGTGTTTGCATTTTATCCTTGTCGTGAGAAAAAGTTCGGTATGTAGTTTGTATTTGTGTTTATGGTTAGAGTGAGATTTTTTTTTTGAAAGACCCAATGTGAGAGAAATTGTTATGCACTGTTATGTGTACCCCAGGTTTAAGAGCTACTCCATTTATTTTTTGTTGAATGTAGCTTTGATCATTGCTTATGTGTTGGCTGCTGTTTTTTTTTCTTCTGAATGTAATTCAACTTTCCTGTGAATACAAGATTTGCCTGGAGTTACATTTGGGCAGCCCTAGCTTGCTCGTGTTGTTTTCTTTCCAGCTGCTGCTCCTTATGTGATTGCTGCACGTAGTTTAGCAGAACGACCTCCCCGGATGGTTCGAAATGTTGTACGGAATCATGGTTCAGCCGCACAGATCCACGTGTAGTAGATGTTAAATCGTACGACATAGACCATAGGTTCGGCTGAACCATGATCCTGAATCACGTCTCTCCCAGATGGTTGGTAATCATGGTTTCCATTTGCCTAGTAATTATGACAAACTTTATGGGTGCAACTGCATGCTAGTAAACCACAGTGATTCACTACAGTAGTGTAAAATATGTTCTTATATTATATCAAGCCTAGAGAAAGACACACCTTAGGGCGTGTTCGGCAATGACCCAGCTTCACAGAACTCCACGGAATCAACTTCTCATCCTCGCTTCTCACTCCAGGTAGCGAACCCAGGAACGTGCGGGAGCCAGCGACAGCTTCTCGCAGAGCTGCAGCCCAGCTGGAGGGCAGTGGCCTGTTAGGAGTGCGTTGGGCCGGCTGGATGCAGCCCATTTCGAGGGAGAGAAGAGAGATTGTGTACCGAATCGTTTTTCTTACGAGGGACTAACGAATCGTTTTCTTTAGCGGTGGCAGGTCGCCGGTAATATCATCCAACTCTCGCTTTTCCATTCGGTGGAGCTGGGCTTTCGTTGCTTCTTATTTTTGCATTACGGGGTCGCTCAGCTTCTCGTTTCCAGCTTCTACAAGCTGACTGCTTCACTCGAGGATTTTGAGAAGATACTAGTAAGTATGCACGTGCAACGCACGTCTCAAATTTTTATCAAGTGAGTTCAAATGGTATACTATTAAAATGATCCTTGCAAAAATAAATAAAATAAATGGCAGAAAATGTTTTGATGTCACTCAAATTGTATTTTCAAAAGTGTGACATATTTGTGATCATGATTTTGAAATTAAAATAAAAACAATTATCAGTTTTTTACAGAAAGTTTTGTAAAAACTTTTAAAATCATCACATGATCATGACTAAACAAATTATTTTGTGAAATCCTTGTGATACAAGTCATGGTGATAAAAAAAATTAGACCCACGCAGCTCAATCGGACACGCCAGTTTAATAAAGAAAAAAAATCACAACGCTGCACACTCACTGCACCGCCCCCGCTAGGCATATCTCCCCGCCGTTCCCCATTTTTGTGGTCGCTAGCTACCCCTCTCCACCGCGTCAAGCCGGCCCTCGCTACGCTCAGGCGCTCAGCCGTGGCCGCACCACGCCCAGCTGACTCTACCGTCAGCGCCGCGCCTGCTGCAGCTGCCGCCGCCACCGCGCCTGCTGCAGCTGTCGCCGCCGCCAAATCTCTGCCAGCAGGATGCGGAGGCGTGGGATTCGAATTCGGTCGCCGGATCCGCTCGAGCTCTATCGGGCGACCCAGCGCAAGCGCCGTCTGAGGCGGATGCGGAGGAGTGGGATTCGTCTCCAACGGATCGGTGGCCGCGGCCATCCCGCGCCGGCGTTGACCGAGCAACGTGGGTCCCGCCGCCTCACCAGATGAGCGGTTCGGGTGCTTTTCTTTCCCGGCGAGCTGCCCCGTGCTTGCCCCCAGATGAGCGTCGGCCTGCCTAGGGGAGTAGTCGAAGAAGCGGGCGTCGCGCTCATCCTCGCCTTCGCCCGATGCGAGAACTCCCGCTCCGTGCGCCGCCGGCAGCTGGTAAGCTCACGCGCCGCCCTCCACATCCGCCTGATGCAGTAATCTTCTCCTCAATTGCAGCAAACCGATCAATTTCTTCCCGCTTCAGTTTTAGGTATTGCTCAAGGAACACATCGTCATGGCCACGTTTCTTGGTTTCTCTATGATGTGCTCCATGTATCTCTGAAAATATTTGTGTGGGTCTTGGTGGGGACTGCATATATTGCATAGGTGTAGATGAATGTGGGAGAGAATCCAAATTGCCTTCCTTGCTTAGTTTAGACTCGGCCAAAAAACGGAGAGTGTTGACAACCTAATGCAGAACCTAATAAGTTTCTCTTTTATATAAGGGAAAGAGCATTGATGGGATGGTCATGGAAGATGAGGTCAAGAAGGTGCAGGATGAACGTTGATGGGATGCTCAGGGAAGATGAGGCCAAGGTGGATACGCCCATGATGCATGGATGCATGTATGAATTATACTTGCACAAACATACCGTGACAAGTATCTCATGCCAAGCTTTAGTTTTGCTAAGAGATCTTGTTGCTCGTATGAATTTTCTTTCTGATATAGTCGTACCACTAATTTACCGTGAGTAGTAATTGTGCCACTGAAATCTACAACTGCACTAATCTTTGGTCAACGATGAAAATGGACTCCACGATTTCAGTGATGTTTCTACATAAGAAATTTGGAATGCTAACAAGAGAAGATAAACATGCGCATAGCAATTAAAGTGATTTTGTTCCTGTCATCTTATATTTAAACAGGTTGCTAATTTTTGATGGTTCGCTACTGTAGTTAACATGATGGATGAATAGTGCTTTCGGTTGTTTGAAGAATGTGAGTTTGACATCATAGGTTTCCATTTTGTGAAGAAAACATCAAGGTGAGTTTCACACTTACATTTTATTATTATTGCTGCTCATGTGTGGTCAGAAAACTTTGCAATGACAAGATAGATGCTAGTATTTTCTGCCAGCTTAAATTTGCAATATCATGTCTGCTGCTGTGCTTTGTTTGCAATATTTCATTATTTGTGACTATGATTCCAGCCAGCTTAAATTTTGCTGGTAAAGCCAAATTCTGTCCTGGACGTATGTGTAATATAGTAGTAATAACACTCGACATTAACAAGAAGCAAGTCTGCTAAAACATGAAACCATGTAATCCAAGTGTTCTTCAGTTTTCTTATTATAAATAAGTAAGCATGTACGTGCAACGCACGTCTCAAATAAAACAAGTTTGTATGCTATTTTACAAAATTTTCAGATTGATCCGAAATGTAATTTTGTCTTTGAAATTCTATTTTCAAAAAATGTGACATATTTCTGATCCAACACGTGCTAATTTTTATTTTAGTGAGTTATTTTACCAAGCCATTTAAATGTGTCTTATGCACAACGATATGAGCACTTGTGTAACACATGATCCAGAAACATGTTTTCGCATAAAATTCACTGTCGCATAATAATTGTATAATCTATTACAAAAATATATTTTAAAAACCGCAACTAAGCATGTCTTGAAGGTCCACCTTTTGAAGCAATGAAGGTCCATCTATAGATGCGATCAATGATGCTTCGTTCAATGTATGGGATATTGTTTTGAGCTTCATTCTCATCATACTTTAAAAGATGCACCAAAAATTGCTTCCTCAGCTGAAAACCATCCTACATATGCATTATACAACTTAGTTGTAACAAGTTGCATGTGCAATGTGTATACAAATAAGCATAGTGTCAATACTTACGTTGGGTATGGGAAAATATAGTTTTCCATCGCACAATGAGTGCATGTAATTAAAAACCAAATAACCGGACAGGGCACTACATGTATGAAATAAACACATAATGTGAGTCGAATGAATCAATTAATATTGTAATGCGTTTAAAAGATTCATACCAATGTGAATTTGTTGGAGCAACAGGAACTATGCATTCCCATTTAGAGATATCATCCTTGAATGCAGGGTTTGCAACTTCAAGCGCAAGGTTTAGGTTGTCAACCATAATTTTAAGTACATTATTCCCCAAAGTAG